TCCTGGTTGAAGTTTGTTCGCTACGCTCACTCACCTTTAGGTTTGAGCTCGTTCGCTACGCTCACTCACCTTTAGGTTGGAGCTCGTTCGCTGCGCTCACTTGCCTTCAGGTTAGCTCGTTCGCTACGCTAACTCTCCTCCAGGTTGAAGTTCGTTCGCTACGCTCACTCACCTTTTGGTTGCAAATTAGCTGTTGTCATAAATGTAAAAGAAATAATAGTGCTGCACCCTGTTGGTAATTTTTGTAACTTTAATGCTATTGAACATCACAGAACAGAACCAACTTGTTTAATTGAAACAGCTGTTAAGATTCAATAATTTCATTTCTCATAAGGTTAACATGGGAAACTCCAGAGCCACTGGGGCGGAGCCCGAAAGGATTTTTGAAATAAGAATATGCCTATATGTTAATCGGAATGTGAGCTATCATCATGCCAAATTTCAGCCCAATCCGACCAGTATTTTTCGCGTTCACTTGTCACAAACATACATCCATACATCCATACATCCATACATCCAAACTTTCTCATTTATAATATTAGTAGGATTCTCATTTATAATATTAGTAGGATAAGATGTTCTGTGTCAAGTGATAAATCGATCAGCTGTTTGCTACGATACTGCATTGATTTTAAGCAATATTTAACCCAATATACTAGTAAACTCTGGTGAGGTGGTACTGAAGTCTATTTTCTTGGCTTCAAATTTTAGCATTATATGGGAAGTCTATTTTGTATATAGTCAATGGTTATATGGTGGAGGGTGGGGGTTTCTCCCAACGTTACATTACATACACATTCTTCTTTTTCAAATACAAAAATAATCAAATCGATATTTTTATACCCATATTATTATTTTTACTTAATCTTTAATGTTTAATGGAAATTTAACGTTTTAGCTGTTTGTCATTTACGTGTTGTTACATCAATTTTGTGTCATGTTATAAGCTTGGTCGTTTCGGTCCTTAATGATGTTTTAACTGTTATTCATTTATCTAAAATTTGCGATTAGTTATACATTAAATTAGTTACGTTTTAACTGGGATAGTTTATTTTGTTGTTTTATTATATTATTAGTAACAATCTTGTTTGTATACATTTTGCTTTATAAAAAGGTTTCTAAATAAAAGTCATCATAAGTTTAATGATTTATTTAAATCCATTATTCCACTAGTAAAATTATGCTTAACCTGTTACTAAAGTCTACTACGATCGAGTTACGTTACGCAAGGAGGGTTGGGGTATTTGCTTTAACGGTGCGTTACATGGGGGGGGGGGGGTTAAAATGACGAAAATGTGTGTTACGTAATATTTGTACGCCCCTTAAATGTTCTCTCTGTACACAATGTTTTATAAGTTATTAAAAGTCATCATTGGCTAGAGGTACACATTTGTATCCTTTCTGTTATTGAAATTGACGATCAGTATTTAAAGGTTATGGCAAACATGAGGAATACCATTATAAATAGAATAAGCTCTTAAATAGGGTAATTCTATTACGAGAACATACGTCAAAATTCTCACGTGCTCAGATTAAAAGATTGACAAACACACTGAACCATGACACAATTTCAACATAATGATACTAAATTTAGTTTTATTAGCCCTGTGCTAGGATTTATTTATATATTTATTATTTAATTTAGGTTCTTGTGTTTAATTCATACAGAGTAATACAATAATGGTTTAGAGGGTTTTATACAATACTGTATTATAAAATGTTTAGTTAAACTTTTAATAATTAAAAAAAACGTTATTGTATAGTTAAGAAGTCATATTTTCTGATTCAATCATTGCTATATTTCAGTTTTAAACACTGTTCTAAATCAAAGTTTTGCAGTAAACTATAATATGACTTAAGCATGACATATAATAGTTGAATCATAAATTTAAAAAAAGGATTGAGGAAATACAGTATTAAATCTAAAAAAGCGAATTGATAAATACCATCATCAAGATATTCCAACAGTAAATTAACACAACTAATCATCCAACGCCACAGGGGATTAAAAAGATAGCCCCAGGAATTATAAACAATGTATTAATTAACAACCGATATTTAAAAAAAATAGATTCTAATCAGCTTACTATTTTATTAATGTTCAGCTTTTTATTTGGAACTTTTTTCTCCGATATTTGAAATTTTTATTCGCTCTTTTTTTACACGGGTTATTTTGAGCCTGGTGGTAAAGTGTGGTGCGCGAATTTTTGATAGTCTCAAACCATAGTGATAGTACCCCCTGTGCTCTCTGGTAGTACTAATGAAAGTTGTGATTAGTTTAAAAGCGCGCAAACTAGACCAAGAGGCCGTTTTTGTTCCAGATTATAAATTTGTATCTGTTCTCTTTAAATATTTCTGTTATATCTGCATTTGAAGGAACCTCCAAACTACAATAGTAACAACAATACCCCCGCCGCAGCAAACCTGCAGACTAAGCGAATTTCCATTTGACTGATTGGATTTACACTGAAATGTCTACTTAAAAATATAACATTTATTCTTGATTTAAATAAAATTAGTTTAACAAGTACTGAGGTTTGCTGCATCAGGGAGGGTAAAACTGTTTTTTTTTAATGTGAATAGTTTCGTAAGAAATAAAAACATTTTCCAAATTTGATCAAAATATGTTCACAAACAAGCAAACTACAACAGTTTACTTATTCTCCATAAGAATAACATGGGAATTTTAAATTTACAATTTTTTGGAATTTTCTCCGTAACAATTAGGCGTAACATAATAACGTTTCAATATACTAAGTTATTTGTTTTTTTAAGCTCTACAAAATGGTTTGGAAAGAAATTGCTAAATTTTATGTTTTTTGGGTCAAAAATGGGAAAAACCTATTTTTACCCCATAAAACCCCCCGTAAACCCCCGTTCCCATGGTCCGATCATGCTGGATCGCGAACTCGTTCGAATAAACGTACGTTTACACGTTTGTACCAATTTTCATCAAAATCGGATCATTTTTGCTCGATTTATCGTGCTGACGGACATTATATATATATGAATTTGAACGGATGGTGTTTTTGGCCTCTAGGGACCTCAAAACGAAAAAAAAATCGGTCCCGCGTCCAGGTCTTACCATGAGTACTACGGTAATAGCTTATTCCCTATATGGGAAATTCGCTAAAATCAAGCTGTGTATTTTATATTAACTTTTAGTTAATATAATTAATTATTATTATTATTATTATTAATTATTGTATACCGTACATTTAAATATGATAGGTACTCTTCTAGAGGGGGCTCTACGATGCTAAGAATACCTTGTCCTTGCCAGGCAGCTCTAAACTCCAGCCGCTATATCCACAATACTACAAGCCAATTTAAATTGTAAGTAGTACTGAAGTAGGCTAGTACTAAGCAGTACTGAATCAATTGTATGTCTTTATTTTATTAATTCGAGTACCGGCATTGGCATCGTAACTGTTGTAATTTTTGTAAGTTTGTGTATTCATGCCAGGCAAAACGCTTGAATATTGTGGTTCAAAAATATGAATTAAGCTAAAAATCATAGATATATGTAATCAACCAACTTATCTCTCGTTTGTAAGAAACTGCCACAAAAAACTATAATTATAAGCTTTTTGTGTGCACGTGCAACTTGAAACGAGTGCGTCGGTTGGGTTGCTCAAAATGCATTTAAACTCGCTGCAGATTTTGGTGGAGCACGATACGCAGTTCCATTCCAACAATGCAGCAAATGACAATACGGTAGGATAGGCCAACTAGATCGACATCTAGCATAATTGTAGGAGCTAGGGGAATTTATCTCTTAATTGATCAACATTACATCCCCTCTTTGAAAAAAATGCTGGATCTTCCGACCATTTTTAGATTCTATATCACTGCTCCCCGTCATGATATAGAGGGAGAATATGATTACTGTACTTATCAGTTGTTATACAGTTAGTTCTTAAACATAAATTTATCTATACATGGAAGACAGCATGAATGGCCAGCAAAACGTAACTTTCAGCCACAAATTAACGTACCGGTATATAAAACAGCTAAAAACATCATAGTGTGGTGAAAAAATATATATTTTCCTGCAGATGTGCAAAATCCCTTTATAAATTAAAATAGGCTCAAAAATAAATAAGCATAACAAATAAATATCAAATTTCAAAAAATTAACATTGGTCTTATAGTCTCCATGATGGTGACAAAATACAAAATATAAACAGATAATCAAAACAAACCAAAGAAATTCCAATCACATGTTTTATTTACAGCGTGGGGTGAAAATAGAGAAGTCTAATATGGTAGATTTTCGACCACTGGACAACCTTATTACTCTTTGGATATACCCGAATAAGAAGCTATGACAAAATTTAAAATTGAAGCCATTTTTTAGACACGATTTTAGTTTAGTGTTAAGTCTACTGATCGGCATTTCGTTAAATTTTCGAAGTACAATGCCACAGTTGGCTGCATTTAGAGGGGGGAATATTTACTTTTTATGAACACTAATAGTGTAATAATTACCGGTGTTTAAGTTATTCATTATTGATAGTATCGAGAAGTTTTTATACCGTACCATTTTTTAAATTTATCTATATTTTCCTTACCAGTTTGAAATGTATTTAATTAATAATTACATTTTTTTAAATTAAATTACAAGTGTTATATTCATTATTTTTTAGTTATTCAATTTAGAATATGTTTGATACACTTTATTCATTTTATTTAGATTACTTATTTACTTAATATTGACTTTATATACTAAATTAAGCCTTGTTCACGTTGCAATTGTAGTTCATACCTGGACAAATCATTGATTTGTTGTATAGAAAATGTAAATAAGCTGAACGGATTGTTAGATTGATACAGTTATCCCTGTTGCATTTAAAAAATTAAACTCATTTGTAGAACGATTAAAAATGTGTGTCACAGAACAAATCTGGCGCGGATCTCCACCAAGTAACTACTTAAACTAATTTATATTTATTTACTTAATCTATAAAATGGTCTACTTATTCTCAACATTAAATTACCTTGTCATTATGTGGTGAATCAAAACTTCTCGGTGAACTCCAGATTACCACTAAACTGCTACCATCCTTCAGTTTTAAACTGTGTCTCTCCCAAACAAGTTTGAAACACTTCCACTTCACTGTAACAATAGTCTCACATACACTTCACCACTTCACTGACCGCTAGTCCGCTACTCACTTCGTTAGCCACCTGGACCAAGACGCAGACTAACAGTAACAGTTCAGTCGGTGACTGTGGTGATTATCTCTCTCACCTGTTCGGTGTTCGCAGGTGGTCGAGCACTCTAGCGAGACGGTGGCGAACTACGTCGTAGCAGTTAGGGAATCCGCCGCTAGAGTGCTCGGACAATAGCGTCACTAGCGCTGGAGTGTGGTTCTGTGCAAGTGTGTTGTTGTAGTTCGTGATTATGCCGGTAGAGTGTATTAGCATTGACTATATACAATAAAAATGATATATAATCAATGGTATTAGATGCTAACACTAGAGCTGTTTTTCACTTTGTAGTGGGACTTGAGTGAACTATTTTGTCGTAGTTTATGGAATTTTGAACATAGTAGATTGTCAGCAAGCTGTCCAACGAACTATGTATATTGTTGTATTCCACTAGTGTAGGCGTAGGCCTATTACAGTATAACAAAGTTGATTCAGTACCGTATTAGAAACAACCATTTGACTTAGTCTATCTTATATAGACATATTAAAAAATGTAGTTTTTCTTTTCTGAGTTCGTTTGACTCTTCTATCTGACCGATTTTCATGATTGAGGTCTCAAAGTGAAGGTATGCACGCACAGATTTGCCATCAAGCATCGGCACATATTTGTCTATAATCCCACTGGGCATATACGTAAACGAAATTTGCTCCCCATGTATTTCTTATGGGAGTTAAATTTAGTTTTTCTTTCAAATTGAAGGCATGCGTGCCAAGTTTTCACATAAAGCATCGGCAAATATTTACCTACTGTATTACTCGGCCAAAACACATATATAATTTGATTTATTTTCTAATTCTTACTACAATTTAAGATGTACCTTCGCCAGTTATAATTTTACAATCCTATATATTTTAGTCTAAGAACCTTCAGTGAAATACTGGCTTTCATTTAAGCTATTAGTTATTCAAATCGGACGAGTTTCAAGTAAACGCAAGGTGAACAACCAACATACAAATTATTTTTCATAAGGTTTTAATATGATTAAAAATAAACAGCTCCAGTATTGTTCATGTTTTTCTATACGTTTTAGAATCCAAATAACTAGTTAATTCTAGGCATCATTTTGAGCTATTAATAGTTTGAATCAGTTGAGCTCAAGAAACTGCATTACTCAATCAAAAATCATAAATTTGATTATTTCTCGGATATTATATTTATTTTAACGCTGCATAGCAGCATGGGTCCTCTAGTTATTTGTGAAAATGTTTACACAATAGAGATTCTGAATGCCCATAGCATAGATTAAAAAATATCATTGACTTCAGATACTGCGGGTAGATTATTCGTCCTAAATGTTCTCTCTTGGGTTAGATTTGCCAGTGTATGCTTTTACTGTTATACTACGCTTCTTTATTGACTTTTATTACCGTATTAATTGTCATAGTCCAGAAAGCTCAAGGTGGAAAACCTGGTCTTTACAGCACGAACTGTGCGAGAGGTACACACTGAGTAATGTGTGAGCAATTTAACATTTTGTTATATTTATATAAAAATAACTGCAGCTGGAGTTGGTATATTGATGTGATGGTTAGGTACTTCAGCACTCTTCATCAGTTACTCCATGAAAACTTTGTTGAATATATGTTCTTATCTACTAACATAAGCTCGGGTAAAAAAGAGTTACTTTACGCCTGGCGATGGACTATATTTTTGTCATATTGCTTCATTAATCAACAATCTAAGCTAGAAAATGGCAAATACTCATGTAAAGATAACCTTTCAACCCTGATCATAATATATCCACAAATAAGCAAACTACATCTGTTTATTTTAGTCTATAAGAATAAAATAGCAATTTATAATGTACAATTTTTCTTTTTCGACATTACCTTTAATTGTATAATAACGTTTAAACGTACAAAATTATTCGATTTAGCTCTACACGATGGTAGTTATCAAAATTGGGCATTTTCGTGCTTTTAAGGTTTGAAAATTTGGAAATCACTCTTTTTTAGGTGGTTTGCAAACTCAATTTAATTGTTTTCAGTGAACATCAAAACAAAAAAGTAAATTGGTCCCGAGTCAAGGTCTTACTGTGCCACCCGAAGCTTATTCTCTATATGAGAAACTTAAGAACACTATATATTATTAATAAAAGCTAAATGGTAGATCTCAACAAAGGAAACATGAACGTAACAGGTTCAATATAAAACATTTTATTACATTTATAACATGACAAACTTTATTTATCCACAGGTAACAAAGCTTTAAAGTAACAAACTTAAAAGTGTACATTAAACAAAACAAGGTTATCTTTGACAGAAGTGCAACTCAAAATACTATTTACACAATTGTAATATTTTATACAGGTTTTTTACTGCAATGTTGTATGAATGTTCTTTTTGAACATGGCTTTATACATTTTATAAATATACATATTTGATACACATATCTAAGATTTATGGGTATACTTTCATAAACCAGGAAATAGGGTGACTTTTATTTACAATACAATATTTATAATCATGAAGAAAAGTGTATCCTTACTCCTCCTAAAACCAATACCTATGAAGGTTATTAAAAAATCTAAATGGTTCAGGGGATCTAAAAGTAAAAGAAGAAGTAAGAGGAGTAGTCCAACACCTGTTAGAAACTACTGGAATCAATCGGAATAATTTACTTTCTATAAATAATAGAATTCCGGGGGGGGGAGGGCAAGTTAAACTGTAAGGGTAAACTTCCGGGAAGGGGGCATGGAGTAAAGGGAGAGCCCACCCCTGGGAAATATTTTAATAAATTTTTGACAATCTAAAGACAAAAAGATGATGATTTTTAGCAATTTAAAACCATAGTATTTCAAATAGATTTTCTGGTTGTTTATTAATGGCTATGCTTTAAAGAGACAACGGCTTAAAGAATTAAAAGATACAATTTTGGAAAAACAATACTTTTGCTGATACATAATAAGAATATCCTTCAATTTTATACCCATACACTTTAGGCTGTATAGTTTTCTATATGAACTTTTAACATATGACCAATCAAGTAACTTACACACACTTATACATATCAGAGGTAAGGTTCAGTCCAGTATCTCACGATGGACCCACCAGGGGCGACTGAAGCAGCCGCGTTGTTGCATCTGTCAACCACTGCAGCAGCCTTTACTCGGCTGCGATGCTTCACATCTTTAGGTTTCATCACACTCTTGTGGTTGCTGAAGAGTCTGCTGGGCGTCATGATAGACTTCTGACTCAGTCCCGTCGCCTCCAGGAAGTTCTCGTAGCTGATATTCGTCTCTATCACAGCCGCAGAAGCGTTCGCCCTGTTCTCCGCTCCGTCGCCCTCTGGTCTTCCGTCACCGCAGAGTGTATCCATGTCACACTCGTCCAGCCGAAACTCTTCAAAGTTCTTCTGAATGTTGTCCGGGTTCTCTTCCACCTTGTCACTTTCTTTCCCTGGCTTGGAGCCGATCTCTTCGAATCTTCTTACAATCTGGGAGACGCTAGGAGACGTTTTCTTCCCGGTTTCTTCTGATGGCTCGATGGCATCGCCGCTGTTGAGAAGTGATGAGACGGGAGATGCCACTTTTATACATGATTTTGGCGAAATGATCTTTTTTGGTGATTGTTTTGGTGGTGTGCGAGGTGTCTCTTCGGTTTTTGTAGGTGATGATAGTTTTGATGTCACTTTCGATTCGTTGGGTTGATCTGTTTTCGAGTGAGAGGAAGTTGAATGGGTCGGTTTAGATGGAGGTTTATGTGTCGGATGGGATACCACAGGTGTGTAGATATTCTCTCTAGACTGACTTGTTAGTTTTGATTTACTCAAGGTCGGTGGCTCTGAACAGCTTTTGATTCTTCTTCCTTGTAATCGTTGCAGTAACTCATCGTCAATGGCAGAGTTGGAAATGACGTACAGTTCACTGTCCGGTGAAGGGTTTGGTAAAGAAGACCGTTTCTTCAACATTTCTATGGGGTCTGAGTCGTCTCCTTTCAAAGCAGGAAGCAAGGTGTTCAACAGAGTTTTCTGGTCCAGAGATTTACTGAGGACCAACCTTTGAGGTTTTGGAGGTAAAGCGGGTGGAACAATTTTGACCTGTAGATTGTCTTTAGGCAGTGACAACTTTTTAGGTGTGGGCAGTTTATTTATAGACTTATAATGGTCTTCTTCGAATTCATTTTCTGTTGTTTCTTTTATCGCTTGCTCTATTACGGTGTGATTTGAGACACTTTCAAGAGGAGGATATACCTTTTTCATGTGACTGTGTTGCACGATAATCTGATCGTTTAGTAAAGTGAGATTCTCAGTGCTTTTGGTTAACTTTTTATTATTTAGTTTGGCTTCGGCTTCTTTCTTCTTTTCCTGTTCCTTCAGTCGTAGCGCTCTCTGTTCCTCTAGGAACTCTTCCTGATCACGGAGCAAAATTTGATTAACACAATTCAAAACCGGATTATCCTCGTATTCGTTTCGTCCTGATATCCTCACTTCTTGCAGCAAAGTACTCGGCGAAGGTTTGCAGTCTTGATGGACTTCTACCCGAAGGATTTCATCCTTCTTCGCTTGTTCTTCACAGGGATTGCATCTTGAAGGAGAGTTACAAGTAGACGGTATACTTATTAAACTCTCCTCTTTAACCGGGCTGAGAACATTTTTCTGTGGAGGATATTGTTCCATGTGTACCTTAACCTCTAGTTTTTTCAAACCAAAATCTTGGTTTCTACACCCATTCTCAGGGTAGCAATTATTATTATGAAACCTTGTTGGACCCTCACTGTGATTTTCCATATTCTTTGGCGAAAATCTCAAGTCGGAATCTTTGCAAGGTTCACTATCGTGATCACCGTCACACGACTGCGTGCTCAAATTCGACAAAAGCGATTCTGGCTGGCTTCCCAGTTCATAAAAACTCAGTTGAAGAGAGTCCAGGTTACTCTGAGAGTCCTCGTTGTCCGTCGTCGTCGGTGTGCACGATTTGTCTTTCCTGAAGTGAGAAATTCCAAGAGAGCTGATCAGGTCGGGTTTGACGTCACAGTCGTAATGGAACGCTGGGGGAGACGCCAGTGTTTCTTCAGCAGGAGTTGAAGACTTGATCTCCTCCACTCTCTCGCCTGACGTCAGCAACTTCCTCAGCCTCGCAATCTCCTGCTGCTGCGCTCTGATGACGGCGTCTCGCTCGCCCAGCAGTGACCGGATGTTGCGCTGCTCCCGCCTCAGCCGCGCCTCTAGTAGCATCAGCGCGCGCATCACGTGACTCAGCTGCTGATCACGCAGACTCCGCCAGCTGCGCAGTTCCTGCTCCTTCAGCTCCAGTTTCCTGCGTAGCGCCACGTCCACCTGTCGCCACCGCGTCGCCTCCAGCTCCCGGCGAAGAGGCTCGCTCTCCACCTGAAACAGGCCAATCCTTGATTAGAAATTGAAAAAAATCAAATTACATCAGATTACATACATTTCATGTTGATAACGACCGAAACACTTATTTTGTATTTTGTCAAATAGTTTAACAAAATTTAACGAAACCTCTTTATTGAATAGAGAAGCTCTATAATAGTTGTTACAACATTTAAAATATATTATTTTTATACTGCCACTTCCAAACCCTAGTAAATAAACGACAAATTGTACATGTATGACAAACACTTGAATAAATCATTATAACCGACCATTAAATAAACAATAGAAAAACAGGAACGCATACGTAATGCACAATACGGGAGGATAAAAACAAATTGTAATACATTTTGAAGTCTATCTAAACATTAAAAATAATAGGAACAAAGAAACCACAAGAGTAACAAGTAATCAGTGTTTCCCCTTTAACGATCGCTAAATGATCCTTCATCACGACAAAGCGCCTTCATTTAGCCATCTCATACCCGTAACACAAATGGTATCTCCAGACTGTTCTTCAATGATCCTAACATTGTTTCTGTTTCTGTTGGCCTATCATTGTATTTACTGCGTCTGATCACAGGAAATAATTGATAAAAATTTCCTTTTTCCTTCAGTCACCCGACAAAGTGGGCTTCCTTGCACAAATTATAGTACAGAAAGACTTACTTTGGTGCACAGTTATAACTTTGGTGCACACCAGTATTCCAACCAAACAACACAAAACGCGTGCTTTTATTATACACGTAATACGTGTACGCATGAAAATAAGTTGGCAACAAGAGGTACCAAGGAACCAACATTAATCAATTCACAAGTACAGTATTCTATCCTGCCAATGAATTTGTACCTAAAAAACACCAATGTAACATTTCTGACAATTCTTTTTCGTCACCTTTATTGATTTGTTATCTGACAAATAAAAAAAAACATATAGAATCGTTAGTTTTTTTCTTAACTGTAATTAAATCATGTCAATGGAACAACCTATGACAAAAGGAAAATAACATCATTTTTTATTTTTTTAACATTTCTTGCATTTTACTGCTGACGCGGTGGCAGCATTGAGCATTGTTTCAGCGCTGGAAGTTTGGCAACACTGCGCCGGACCGGTTCAAGACGCTTGCATAATGCGTTTTGGTTCTTTTATCGTGACCGCTATTCTCCAAATTGTTCCGACTGTAAGTGTAATGGTGGTTGTAAATTGCTGGTTGAATTTGGGAATGGAAAACTAAACATTACACAGAGAAGATGGTACAGTACTACAGTAACAAACTATAGCCTACATCGTCTAACTGTATATAGCCTAGTTAGACTAGACTATACATCGATGGACTACATTGAGGATTTATAGAACTTAAAAAAAGTTTTGTGAAGGATAAAACAATAATATCCATTTCAGCAAAAGCTTACAACAAAATATGTTTAGTTTATTGCGTATTATGGCCTTGTGTAAACTAAAATTTTCTAGGTGTGTTTTGCTTTTATTACACATAAGATGGTTCCCTTGTAGCGTTTGTTAAGGAAAATGTTCAAGTTAGTACTTTGTTCAATAATTTTCGAATTTGGTCTGCCCTACTGTAAAGTAGATATTTCCCTTGTTCTGTACCACTTAAAAAAAAACTTTACAATCTAGCTACACCGTATGTTTCTGTAAACGTTTTTCTTTCATTCACACCAACTTTTTGACATACCAAACTCAGGTAAAGGTATTTTAAACTATATACCATCTTTTACGTAGGGGTGCGATTAATATAATAGAAAATAGAAAAAAATGCTAGAAATATAACCTTTACAAGCCCACTCCATGAAAGGCTTCACAGCTGATCTAGAGACGGGCCACATAGATGGGACGTTTGGATTTTAATATCCAAAGTCAGTTGGTCATCACAAACTATAGTAAAAATTTAATATGATATGCTAAAAATATATTTTTCTAAAATTTAAAATTACAACCCTAACGTTACAAATAAAAAAAAACCTGGATCTTATAAACTTTAACCAACTTGAAGAACCAGTTGCAGCCCTGGACCAAGATTACAAAGGTATGCTCAAGTTTTCATACACCAGAGACCCTGTCGTCGTAAAGATAGTAAGATTCTTTGTTTAGAGTTTTTTCATCCCTAGTAAAACAAACGTCATGAGACGCTTCAAGATAGAATCTGAATACGTCTTCCCTAATCATTGTAGGAAGTTTTTAATCATCTTGTAAACAGCATACAAGATATTTAATTTTGACACAAAAGTATCCCCAAGTCCGGTTAAGTTCAAATTGTTGTGTATGGTACTGCACTGAACTGCAGCCCAACGATGCGCTGGACTATCCGTTGCTTGAGGATGAAAGGATTTAAACGTGAGTTCGCAGCTTACAATTTTATGGTGGAACACAAACTGGTCTACAGCCTAAAGAAGAAGGAATGCGAAGAATGTGTTATAAACAGGTGAGAGGATGTCAGTAGGTTGTGAGCCGGGGGCGACGCATTCCGGCGACGAAGCCGTCACTTTCCTGACCGCACGGTACGGCATGGTACACGGTACACGGCACGGCATGGTACACGGCACGACATGGTATACGGTACTCGGCACTGCATGGTACACGGTACACGGCACGGCATGGTACACGGTACACTGCACGGCATGGTATACGGTGCATGGCACGACATGGTATACGGTGCACGGCACGACATGGTATACGGTACACGGCACGACATGGTATACGGTACACGGCACGGCATGGTATACGGTACACGGCACGACATGGTATACGGTACACGGAACGGCATGGTATACGGTGTATGGCACGGCATGGGTATACGGTGCACCATAAAAACAATGGAACGAAATGATTCACGGTGCAAGGAGCAGGAGGTGGTAAAAATCAAACTGTACGGCAAGATACTGTACATGAACACGGGCGCTCAATTCACTGTACAAGAATCGACTATCTATATAAATAAAATTAGAGTTTTGTCTGTACATTGCTCAGAATTATATATTTTTAGGTTATTTTTACGTCTTATACATTAAATAAGCAGAAAAGAGTCTTATCTCAATTTCTGTCTGTTTGTCTGTCTGTCTTTCCCTCTGTCTGTAACACTCAAGATAACATTTTACGCTATCTTCTCCTGGAAAACGAGAGTACCTATCAAGATTCAAGTCATTTTAATGTATTCACTGGATTGGCGAGATTGTCTTTAGTCATTAAAATATGGCCTCACTACTTTGTAAATAATATTACGAACGTTCAAAAATGTAGTTTTGTGCGATTTATGTCAAGTTTTCGTCCAATTTTTATTGCATAAATAATCTATGAAATAACGAACAGCTGTTCGGATCAATATAATTTTTCCTAGCTGTCACTGATATGTTTACAAATGTTGTTTACAAATACCGCAACCTTTTTCAATCACATTTTGAATGCAAATCCCAACCAAGTGAGATTAAAAACGTTTTTCTTACATAACGGATTTAATTAATCGAAAGTGCAATAATATACAGGGTGAATAAAAAGTCAAGACCCCCCTCTCTAATATTTTTCCAAGTAAATATACAGAGATATCCTTTTGGTGGTCGATCAATCTTAGCAGGAAGTTTCATTTTATCATTTTGAAATTTTTGAGTGTCCCCCCAAAAGGGGGGATTTGGGGGGCAACTCAAATATTTTAAATGTAAACCCCCTTCAAGTGACACCTCATTTTAAAGGGTTTACAAAAACTTAAAGAATGGTGAAAACTAGAGGTCGCTATCTCTTCTCTATTCAAAATGGTAGCCCGTCAAATGTTGTGGAAAATCAACGGTAAAATTATTAATATTGGCTGCCATTTCGGATAGAGAAGAGATAGTGACCTCTGGGTTTCACCATTCTTTAAGTTTTTGTAAACACTTTAAAATGAGGTGTCACTTGAAGGGGAATTACATTTAAAAATTTTGAGTGTCCCCCAAAAGGGGGGATTCGGGGACAACTAAAAATGTTTCAAAAGAAACCCCTATCAAGTGACACCTCATTTTGAAGTGTTTACAAAAACTTAAAGAATGGTGAAACCCAGAGCTCGCTATCTCTTCTCTATCCGAAATGGCAGCCAATATTAATAATTTTACCATTGATTTTCCACAACATTTGACGGGCTACCATTTTGGATAGAGAAGAGATAGTGACCTCTAGTTTTCACCATTCTTTAATTTTTTGTAAACACTTTAAAATGAGGTGTCACTTGAAGGGGGTATACATTTAAAATATTTGAGTTGCCCCCCAAATCCCCCCTTTTGGGGGGACACTCAAAAATTTCAAAGTGATAAAATGAAACTTCCTGCTAAGATTGCTCGACCACCAAAAGGATATCTCTGTATATGTACTTGGAAAAATATTAGAGGGGGGGGGGGTCTTGACTTTTTATTCACCCTGTATGTAGTGTAATAGTGTAACCGTGTAAATGAAATTAAATAACTAGGCATCATCCAGTTCAGGAACCAGAGATTCTTTGTGTATAAATTGTTCTTGAATTTAAATAACCAGAAAGAAGACCTTGAATCAGTGTTGTATACGGCTGGGAAACTTAAATTTAATAATGATCGTCGCCAATAGCTTAGAAACATGGTGTCCACTCATTGACACGGCGCTTCAATGGCGGTTGTGTAAAGTGTAAAGTAAAAAATCACAACTGCAGTGGGTGATTGTAACAGAGGTTTACGGATGATGCTAAACTCGCTTTTCTAATGTGTTATTTTCTGTTCCTACCATTGACTATATATATAGTCAATAGTACCTACTCACCGTGTGATGTAATCGCTGGACCATACAGCCAATAGGCCCATAGCCCATCTCTTGGGTACGTACGCCTACCCAATTATTCATAACAACCTTTTCGACAACGATCCTTGATACCGGTACTTTTCCCTAGAATACACGGCCTACCTACTTAAGAAATAAAATTACAAACGTCCAAAAACCCAAAGTTGTGTTATTTTTGTCACATTTCCTTATAATGTTATTAGATAGC